AGGCGCCCCCACCCCCCCCCCGGCAGACCAGGGAGACGCGGGCGGCGGACCGAGACGCACCGCGGTCCCGCCGCCCGGGTCCTCCGTGGCTTTGCTCCCCATCTCCCTGGTCTGCTGTGGGGGGAGCCCCCCAGCAGACCAGGGAGACGCGGAGCAGCTTTTCTCGCCCCGGAGGACGCGGGCAGCGGGACCACGGCGCATTTGGGCGTCCCGCTGCTCCCGTCCTCCGGGGCGAGAAAAGCCCCGTTCGTAACTGTGGATCCGACATAAGTCGGATCCGCGTAACTCAGGGACTGCCTGTATTACAGGTGACTTTGTATCCCTAGTGTTTAGTGCTTTTAAGTGTATATATGAGTTAGAAGAATATCTATGAAAACTACCTTAATTTGAAACTTCAGTGTTAACTCTAAACTAATGAAAAGGAGGTTGTGTGGAATGTAGTGATACCATCCTCACCTATGAATAGACTTTAGATGTTGGTCTACTAGTAAAAAATTAGCATTGTTTATGTCTTTCCAGTGAACAGTGTTTCTCTCTGCGCCCAACCCCTGTGCTTGACTCTTCAGATCTATAATACTTTTTCCCATTGGATTGGAAAAAATCTCCAGTATCTGAAATTATTAATTGCAAAATATAAAAGGAATATTTTCCTAATCAGTGTGTGTGTGTGAAAGTGAACTGACTCAAGTTTTGTTGCTTACCTGAAATAAATCAGCATTTTTATTTAATCTTAACAGCACTTCTTTTTGATGACAATACCAACTCGGGTCACCCACGGCACATTGGGAGCATTGATCCATGCTGTGATGTGGTGGGAGTGGTGAATGGTATGTACATTCTTAAATCCTGTAAGGTCTCTAGTCTGTCCTCCTGCTTAGTACTGACTGGCTGCCAGTAGCTTGACATGCAGATAAAAGATGTCCTTTTGTGGGGTGCTGAAAACAACCTCTAAGTGCCCGACCATTGTAGAGTAGCTGATCTCCTGACTTTTAAGGAGGATGCAAGATAGAAGAAGAGAAATTTATCCAGAAATAATTTAGGACATTATTGATCTAGTATTAATGAATGCTAAATCAGATGGGAGGTGTGAGTAGTCCACGGCAAATCAATATTAGCTGTGTGTGGTGGAAAAACTTCTATTTTTCATTCTTTTTGTTCTACAAAACTCTCAAATTAGCATTTAGGTTCTGCAGCGTAAATTTGCATATTAATCTTAACGCTGTTCATCACAATTCATAGTAATAGTTTATAAATATTTCATGTTAAAAACCTGCATGTTTACATCTTGCAATAATACGTGAATGTCATATGAAGAGATGTTGCCAAAGAGATTAAATTGCTTGTATTATAACACTTCATTTTACTACTGCATACTCTTATTTTTATAAAATTAAAAAAATATTGCAGATGCTTTTGAAAGTTCCCGGCGACTCTGTGACCAGTATTACTTAGATTCTCCAGAATTAAGGCTTATTCAAGTGAATGGTAAGATAATGGCTTAATGTCTTATTTGCAGACTAATAATTCTTATCGATAGCCAAACTGACTCTTCTAGGAAGTAGATCCTTTCATTCAGCCTCTCCTTAGTGCTTTTGTCAGAGTAGTCTATACATGGCTCTGAATCTGGTTTACCAGTCAGCTAATCTCATGTTTTCTCCTTCCACTTCTTTAAGCATCTCAAATTTTGTTTTTTCACCTTAAGTAGTTGCAATCCAAGCCTTCTCTGCATTTTGCTTCCAGAAGGTAGTACATTGGTATAACTTTCTGACTCTCAAATATGAACTTTTTGAGGTGTGGTTCTCATAAATGCTGCAGAGGACAAATTGATCTGTTTATATACAGCCGCCCCCCGAATTGCGAACGGTCGAGTTACAACCATTCGCACTTGCGACCAAAGCTCCCATGGAGCGGTCGTAAAAGCGGTCCCCAAGTTACGAACGCGACACGCGCTTACGAACAGCGTGTTTGGTCCGTAACTCATTCGTAACTCGGAGAGCGGCTGTATTTATGTAAAAAAAAATCAGCAAGCACTGTCATATGATGGCAAGAAATAAACTTCTTCACACACAAACTGGATGCAGCACTAGACTCCAGTAACTGCTGCGTTCTAATCCACATACTCTGCATATGTCTGATTCTGTACAGTTAGGATATGTCTACACGATCACGTTAATTCGAATTAAGTTAATTCGAAATAGTTAATTTGAATTAAGCTAATTCGAATTAACGCATCTGCACACAAACTATTTTGAATAGAGTTTTGCTATTTTGAAATAGCACGTTCATACTGAGTGGACCCCGAACCGAAGTTAAGGCTGGCCTGAACCAGTGCCAGCAGGGCATCAGGTTAGGACTTAGTGTGTGGGGCTGCTGCCTGAGGCTAACTGAGCTCTGTGCTTAAAGGGACCCTATCCCCACCCCAGACAGACAAGCAAGCGGGGAACCCTGAGAACTATCTCGTTCAAACTAGGGTGGCTAGTGTAGACATACCCTTGGAGTGCCCGCCCTTGGGACACCACAGCACTTGGCCACATGGAGCCAGAGTTGCCCCTGGGCACGCTGGTGCATCTCATGGGGTCGTTGCCATCATCCCGGCTGCACTTGCTGCAGGTTGCAGGCCGGGGGGTTCATCAGGGGGCTGTCAGGATCCAGGGGGCCCTGCAAGAGAGCGTCCACCCCGAGTGGTGGAGGGCTGGCTGCCAGTGGTTTGCTGGCTCATGTTCTGGGGCCACTGGGTTGGGACCCGGTGGCTACTGCTGCCTCTGGGCTGGCAGGCTTGGAGGTGGCACAAGCACTGTGGCCAGAGTCAACCCCTGTAAAGGCCCTGGGGAGAGCGGGAGGGAGAGGAGTGTTCTTGGTTGAGGCTGGAGTGGGCCCCCGAGGGCTCCCTGGGAAGAGCTGGAGGCCCCCTATTTTGAATTAAGTGTCTATAGAGCACTTAATTCAAAATAGCTATTTCAAATTTGGCATTACTCCTCGTAGAATGAGGTTTACCAAATTTGAATTAAGCAATCCGCTATTTCAAGTTAATTTCAAAATAACTGTTTGCACATATAGATGCTATTAAAGTTAATTCAAAATAATGGCTGTTGTTTCAAATTAACTTTGCAGTGTAGAAATACCCTTCATTAGTTCTTGCCCACTCTATTAGGAATGCTAAAAATTGAATGATACAAACAATCACTTGAGAATAATTCTGGTGTTCATAAAATTAATGCATTGTGCACAAATTGGGTTACAATGTGCTTTTGGGGAAATACTCTTCCACTCACTACTTTATATACTAGAGCATGACATTTGTTTAAAATAGTTTGGGAAGCCAAGCTAACAGAAAAGAAGCCTTAATGGGGGGAAAACTTGTTTTCTTTTCCTCCCTATAGGAAAAATGCCGGGACTACCCATTCACATTGTTTATGTTCCTTCCCACCTCTTTCACATGCTGTTTGAGCTGTTCAAGGTTTGTAAACCCATGTTTCTGTTATGAGCATGCCAATGCCCAGTTCTGTGACCATGACCTAACGTATTTCAGTCTTAGTGAGCGAAAAATTTAAATCTCAATATTTGTTTGGTAGGGAATGTAGCATCTGTGTGCTCTTGGGAGGGAGGGGGAGAAAGACCAAGAGCTAGTGGAATTCAAGAGTTTGTTTGAGAGTAAAGCAGTTAGAACTTTTTAATGACCATAAAGCATGGCTATTGTGTTGGAATCTGACTACAGCTTTTCTTTTTTCAAATTGCATAACCTCTAATCTTCATGTTGGGCAGGTACAATTTAATGTTACATCAACATAATGTTGATGTGCCCTTTCCAATAATGCAGTCCCAAATAAAAGGTCTGCTTTTGGAATCCTTTCTAGATACAATTTTTTCCTTCCGTCTATACTATAATAAATTACTAAGAACATTCCCCAGAGACAGTTGGGATGGGGCTGGGGGAGAAGTACAGTCAGGTCTTTCTAATAAAGACCTGATATGAAGAGGAAGGAACCACACAAGAACCTACTATCTGGTGCTGCAATAGTGTTATATAGTTAACTGAACCAAAATCTTCTGATGACTTTAATTTCCATAGAATGCAATGAGGGCAACAGTTGAACATCAGGAGAACAGTTCTTCCCTTTCTCCAGTTAAAGTGACGGTTGTTCTAGGAAGCGAAGACCTGACAATTAAGGTAATCTGTTACTCAACTCCAGTAGCCCATTATGATAAGTTCTTCCCCCTTCAGGGTGCCATCTGGGGCTGGCTTACTGCTGACCCTGCCTGACCCACGAGCCTGGGCTCCCTTTCACTCTGTAATGCTGTGACAAGGTGCAAACACTCTAGGTATCTCAGGGTATGTCTACACTACAAAGTTAATTCGAACTAACGGACGTTAGTTCGAATTAACTTTGATAGGCGCTACACTAGTGCTCCGCTAGTTCGAACTTAATTAGAACTAGCGGAGCGCTTAGTTTGAACTAGGTAAACCTCATTCTACGAGGACTAAGCCTAGTTCGAACTTACTAGTTCGAATTAAGGGGTGTGTAGCCCCTTAATTCGAACTAGTGGGAGGCTAGCCCTCTCCAGCTTTCCCTGGTGGCCACTCTGTTCAACACCAGGGAAACTCTATTGCCCCCCTCCCGGACCCGGACCCCTTAAAGGGGCACGGGCTGGCTACGGTGCCCGTTCCAGGTGCAAGCCTGCCAGCACCCAGCTAGCAGACCCTGCACCT